GAGAGAGATGCAGGACAGACGGTAATGATAACAGCTTACAACAACATTAATGAAAGTAATAATATTATAATTATAATTACGGCTATTGTGGTATAATATGTTGAAAGTATATATTAATATATGATAGTATACATATGTGACAATAATCATATGTGTATAATAACAGTAGAAGTATGACTAATGATAACAGCAGCAGCAGGAGGCTTCTGGCAGGACCACGGGAGCAGCATAACCACACACATCACACTATCCAGACACCGCTGCAATATAAGATAACCTGCAAGACAGTGAAGCACAACAGCTCCGGAGAAGAAGCTGAGTTAGTGACATGCAGTATGGCCAAGTTCAAGATGCAGTAACAGGACATGAGAGAGAGAGAGAGAGAGAGAGAGAGAGAATGAGAGAAAGTGCTTGGTGTATTATAGGAGGTCCCCCGGCAGACTAGGCCTAAGTCAGCCTAACTAGGGTCTGGTACAAGGCAAGCCTGAGTCGGCCCTAACTATAAGTTCTATCAAAGAGGAAAGTCTTAAGTCTAGTCTTAAATGTTGAGACGGTGTCTGCCTCCCAGACTGCAACAGGAAGATGATTCCACAGGAGAGGAGCCTGATAGCTGAAGGCTCTGGCTCCTGATCTACTTTTGGTAACTTTAGGAGCCACGAGTAACCCTGCATTCTCAGAGCGCAGTGTTCTGGTGGGATAATAGGGCACTATGAGCTCTCTAAGATATGATATTATTAACTATTAATAGATTAATAGTTAGTGATGGCTTCTCCCTCTGCTCTTTCTTGCTCTGTGCCAAATGTTCAGTTATGCCTCTGCCTCCTTTAGCAACAGTGGTAATTGTAACAAGTGTAGCTTATTTGCTGCGTTGGAGGTGAGGCTCAGTGAATTATAAGCGCGGCTCCGCACCATGGAAAATCACTCGGTAGCTGCGGTAGTTAGCAAGTCCCCTGTAGCCAGTGCAGAGCCACATAGCATAGCCTCTGCTAGCGGTCCTCCGGTAACACCCGTGCAGCCGGGAGGCTGGGTAACTGTCTGTGAGCGTAGCTTCAAGCCGAAGCCCACGGTTCACCACCAGCCTGTTCATGTTTCCAACCACTTTTCCCCATTTAGCGACACACCCGCTAAGGACAAAACTCTGGTTATTGGCAGCTCTAATCTGAGGAACATGAAGTTAGCAACACCAGCGGCCATAGTCAAATGTATCCCTGGGGCCAGAGCAGGCGACATTGAATCAAATTTAAAACTGCTGGCTAAAGCTAAATGTAGATATAGTAAGATCGTTATTCACGTCGGCGGCAATGACACCCGGTTACGCTAATCGGAGGTCACTAAAGTTAATATTGCCTCGGTGTGTGAATGCGCAAAAACTATGTCGGACTCCGTAGTTTTCTCCGGACCCCTCCCAAATCTGACCACCGATGACATGTTTAGCCGCATGTCATCATTTAATCGCTGGCTGTCCAGGTGGTGTCCAGCAAACTATGTGGGTTTCGTTAATAATTGGCAAACTTTCTGGGGAAAACCTGGTCTTATTAGGAGAGACGGCATTCATCCCACTTTGGATGGAGCTGCTCTCATATCTAGAAACCTGGCAAAGTTTATTCGTAATTCAAAACCGTGACAACCCAGAGTTGAGATCAGGATTCAGAGTTGCAGTTCTACACGTTTCTCTGAGCTTCTAGTGCAGTTACCCACTCATAGTTTTATACAAACGGTGTCTGTCCCCCGACCACCTAAACTGTCTAATTCTAAAATTAAACAAAGAGGAGTCGTGCATAACAACCTCATAAAACATAAACCTCTTCTGTGACAGAAAGACAAAACAGGAGAATTAAATGCGGACAGTTAAATATCAGGTCTCTATCATCTAAAGCAGTGTTAGTAAATTGAATGAATGAAATGAAAATGAATTTTGCCTCTAATAGTTAGAATTTTGTCATTAAAAAAGCTCATAAAATCATTACTGCTAAGGGCTAAAGGAATACAAGGCTCAATAGAGCTTTGACTCTCAGTCAGCCTGGCTACAGTGCTGAAAAGAAACCTGGGGTTGTTGTTATTTTCTTCTATTAAAACTGAGTAATAGTTTGCTCTGGCATTGCGGAGGCCCCTCTTATGCGTTTTGAGACTGTCTACCCAGACTAAACGAGATTCTTCCAGTCTGGTCAATCGGCAGTTACTTTATTTGTTTTAACTTAGAGGTTTGAGAGTTATACCAAGGAGCAAACTTTCTTTGCTTTGTTAACTTCTTTTTAAGAGGTGCTACAGAGTCGAATGTTGTTCGCAGTGAGCCTACAGCACTATCAACAAGATGATCAATTTGGGAGAGTTTAAAGTCAGTACGGGAAACCTCTGTTACTGAAGGACATGGTATTAAATTTAACGAAGAAGGAATCATTTCCTTAAATTTTGCGACATCATTATCTAATAAACATCTAGTATAGTAACTGTTGCCGAGTGGCATGTAATTGAGTATAAAGAAATCAAAAGTAGTCAAATAATGATCCGATAGCGAGGGATTCTGTGGAAAGACTGTTAGGTTATCAATTTCAATTCCATTCCGTTAGAACTAGATCGAGGTTATGGTTAAAACAGTGAGTGGGTTCATGTACACCCTGACTGAAGTCAATGGAGTCTAATAATGAGATAAACGCAATAGCCAGGGAGTCGTTATCAACATCAACATGAATGTTAAAATCACCTACAATAATAACTTTATCTGATTTCAGAACTAAAGCGGATAAAAACTCTGAGAATTCAGATACAAATTCAGAATACGGGCCAGGAGCACGGTACACTATAACAAATAAAAGTGGCTGCGAGGTATTCCACGTCGGATGTAAAAGACTAAGAACAAGGCTTTCAAATGAATTATAATCTAGTTTAGGTTTAGGGCTGATTAACAGACTAGAGTTAAAAATGGCTGCAACTCCCCCTCCTCGGCCGCTGCCTAGAGGAATATGGGTATTATTATGACTGGGAGGAGTGGATTTATTTAGAGTGACATATTCATCTGGACACAGCCAGGTTTCAGTGAGGCTGAGTAAATCAATATGATTATCTGATATTTATTCGTTTACTAAGACTGTATTAGATGATAGAGACCTGATATTTAACAGTCCGCATTTAATTCTCCTGTTTTGTCTTTCTGTCACAGAAGAGGTTTTAATTGTTATGTGGTTGTTATGCACAACTCCCCTTTGTTTAATTTTAGATTTAGATAATTTAGGTGGTTGGGGGACAGGCCCCGTTTGTATAAAACTATGGGTGGGTAACTGCACTAGAAGCTCAGAGAAGCGTGTCAGACTTCGACTCTGAGTCCTGGTCTCAACTCTGGGTTGTCACGGTTTTGAATTACTAATAAACTTCCTAGATATGAGAGCAGCTCCATCCAAAGTAGGATGAATGCCGTCTCTCCTAACAAGAGCAGGTTTTCCCCAGAAACTTTGCCAATGATTAACAAAACCCACATTGTTTGCTGGACACCACCTGGACAGCCAGCGATTAAATGATGACATGCGGCTAAAAATGTCATCAGTGGTCAGATTTGGGACGGGTCCAGAGAAAAGTACGGAGTCCGACATAGTTTTAGCGTATTCACACACCAAGGCAACATCAATTTTAGTGACCTCCGATTAGGGTAACCGGGTGTCATTGCCACTGACGTGAATAACAATCTTATTAAATCTCTGTTTAGCCTTAGCCAGCAGTTTTAAATTTGACTCAGTGTTGCCTGCTCTGGCCCCAGGGATACATCTGACTATGGCCGCTGGTGTTGCTAACTTCACGTGTCTCAAAATAGAGCTGCCAATAACCAGGGTTTTCTCTTCAGTGGGTGTGTCTCTGAGTGGGGAAAAACGGTTAGAAACATGGCTTGGAACTATGCTTCTCCCAGACAGTTACCCAGCCTCCTGGCTGCACGGGGGTTACTGGAGGACCGCTAGCAGAGGCTATGCTATGAGGCTCCGCACCGGCTACAGGGGGCTGGCTAACTACTGCAGTTACTGAATGATGTTCCACAGTGCGGAGCCACACATCCAATTCACTAAGCCTTGCCTCCAAAACAGCAAATAAGCTACACTTGTTACAATTACCACTGTCGCTAAAGGAGACAGAGGCATAACTAAACATCTAGCACACCAAGCAAGAAAGAGCAGAAGGAGAAGCCATCACTAACTGTTAAGCTAATGTAGCTATCAAGGCTAATAACATGTAAACAACAGCTAAGATTAGCAAGAAATTCGTACAAAAAGAGGAGAGCTTTAAGTGCTTAAACAGAACTAGTGTGGGTTAAGACTTGAAGTAGATGTTAAGCAACTGAAGTGAGGAAAAGACAGAAAGCAAGCTGGTAGAGTTCGCTAGAGGAGCACAGAGACGCTATCACAGAAACACCGGAAATGACACAACATGCCTACCGCAGTACATCAGCATGTCAGTTCATTTTTGAGACCAAGTTAACATTTTTGTATCTCAGTGTTCTTGAGATGTCACATTCACAAAAAGGAGATAGACAAGGTAACAGTGACCTTGACCTTTGACCACTGAATCCTTATTCATTCACTTGAACTCAGTGATGAACTGATTAGGTTTTGGTGGTTAAAGGTCAAGGTCACTTTTACCTTGTCTATCTCTGTTGTTTGAATGCAATGTTTTCACAGACATGCATGTAAACTGTAAGAGAAACCTGACTGGTGTGCGGAAGCGTACAACCGCGAGGTGGTAATTCTAGTTTGACAAGGAGCCAGCACCAAACGGTGTTCTTTAGACATGTTCTTGTTCAGGTTTTGTTGTTGGGGCTGTCGCTAATCAATGAGTAGTTCCATATAATAGGCCTCCAGGAGATCCACTGGTATTCAGAAAATATAGTATGAAGGTCAATTTACGCCAAAAACAGACAGTAATGATTGCAGTTTTAAACTTTAAAAAGAAGTGATAACAGCAAGCTGTCAATCTCTTTCCTGTTATTGGAGTAACATGACACTGTCTATATGACTCCATAGCTATTCAGTGGACGGATCAAGATGTCTGACTCTCTGGCTGAGCGCCTTGACACCTCTCTGATCAGCTACTCTTCTCCCCTCATGAGCCACTATCCCAGTCCTCCTCTGGCCTCCACCATAGGCCGCAGCCTCAGGACACCATTGGCTTCTACCAAAGGCCAGCATCACAGACAACACAGCCAGTACCCAGACACAGGCAGGCGGGTGAGCCTTGATGTCGTTGTTACCATAGTGTAGGGTTCAGTGTTGGGCAAGCTACTTGGAAAGTGTAGTGAGCTAAGCTACTAGTTACTCTAATATTAAATGAAGCTTCACCACATCAAAGCTATCCCCCTCAGAAATATAGCAAGCTAAGCTACAGCAAAATGAAAGTAACTAGTACAACTACATGCTTTTTACTAAATTGAACCAACTTCGTGCCAAGTCAGTGTTATCTTACTGATGAATAAAACTGTCAGTCAAACAGATAGGCAGGCAAAAAAGTTAAGTTCAATTGTTTATTGAACAGTGAGCTGCGCTAACTCACAACACAACTCAAACCACAACAGCAAGAATGAAGACCTGCTTCAAACAGTCACAACATGGTCAAAAACATACATGTGTGTGTATGTATGTGTATGTACACTGCAAAAACTCAAAATCTTACCAAGAATATTTCTTTCTAGTCAAAATGTTTCATTTCTAGTCAAAACAAATCTCATTACACTTGAAATAAGACTCATCACCTTATCTCATCACTAGACACTTAGACAATTTTCACTTGTTTCAGGAAAATTTTCACTTGAAATAAGTAGAAGAAAATCTGTCCATGGAGCAAGTTTGTTTTTCTTAATACAAGCAAAAAAAAAAACAACCTTGCTCCATGGACAGATTTTTTTATTCATTTCAAGTGAAACTTTGCTTGAAACAAGTATTTTTAAGTGTAAAGAGATTAGAGACTAGAAATAAGACAGATATTCCAAACAACAAAATAAACAACACAAACAAACAGAATATTAATATTATTTTGACTTAAGGCAGGTCTATGCTTTTCTTCTCATCAAGTGGCATGTGCCGTCTGCAGGCAGCAGAGCACCGTTACATGTACCAGCGTCGTCACGTCAGCGTGGTTGCACCCCGCCTTTCCAAAACCCCGCCTTTCTGAAAATAGACCTCCATTCTTCGTAATGGCGGGGTTTCCCATTTTTTCTAGAGGCCCCGCTATTCCGAATATTGGGGACAACCCCTCCATTCTGAAACCCCGCCGTTTCGAAATTGATTTTCAAGTCCCTATTTCTCTGAGTTTCCTGCATCAAACACTGCCGCCCGCTCTCCGGCCACACTCGCACAATTCTGAATTAAGCTGTAGTCCTACTACAAAAGCTTGAAATGAACGTTCAGCTCATTGTTTTTTATTGAAAATATGTCACTGTCTTCATTTATGGGGAGGGCAGGGATGAACGGATCACTTAATATTTCCCTCTCTGCACAGAGATGCATTTATTTATAGTAAACACATTTTATAGTGAGCAGCATACATATGTCCCCTACAAATCCCAACCGTGTTTACAAAGTTTGAATGACCGAGATGGACGCAAAGGAAATGGAGGCTGCGCATTGATCCTTTTGCCCCTGTTTGCAGAGATGAATGGACCGCATGATGGGGTCAAACAGATCATGTGCCTAATTAACCACAAAACAAGCAAATACTTCATCTTAATGACATATAATGCTCATTATGCTTCAGCAGAATCCTCTAAGCAAATGACCATGTTGAATTGAAATTAGTTTATCATGTTAAATGTCCGAAATTGTATGAAATTGCTCCAATGCGTTAAACCAATCTTTGTGCATAATCACACAGCCTGATATGCCCTGGCAAACACAGTGGGACTGCTGGTTTCAGAACGGCGGTGTTTCGGAATGGAGGGCTGTCCCCCGTCAGGCTCATGCGCAAGTGACTCTGTGTGGTCGCGGTGACAGTTTTATTTCAGTCCGTAACAGAAATCTCCGGCTCGTTTGAGCTTCAGGAATGATTTTGGAAATGTAGCTTGTGTAGACACTGCCGTGCTAAGTGATCAATAAAAGAGCTTAACTACTGGGAAGTTACTTGATTCAGAAAACAACGACGCTACCACCAAGCTACTGAGAAATGTAGTTAAACTACAAACGTCCACTACTGTAGTGACGCTACTGCCAGTAGCAGTACAGTGGTAGGGTTGCAGCAGTATTCTGGTTTCAAGGTATACCCTGGTATGAAAATTGACAGTTAACATACGTGTACATTTGCTTATCTACGGTATGTTTTTTTTTAAAAAAAGCAACAAGACAGAGAATCTCACCTTTGTGAGACTTTTTAACACACACTTCCATTAAGAAAAGTTCCAATTAGAATAAAACATTTATTCCACCTAAAATTTCTTTCAGTTTTCATTACTTTAAGGGTCATTGTAACTTATAACAATGATAACAATAATGTGAATGTTGTGTCAGCATTCACTGTAAGTAGTGTTTTTCGGTGATACCGCAAAACTGTGATTTTTTTCTAAAACAATAATCACAGTTAGAAAATCTCATACCACTGCAACCCTGCCATAGTGACACAATGAGAATGCTTGATAGGGATGAGACAGAAACTTCAGTAATGCTCTGACCAACCTAAGAATTCTCACCTTATTTGATTTGCAGTCTCGCAGCATCTTACAACGCCAGAGAGGCATGGAGGAGGAGGAGGAGAAGGAGCTGGAGGGGGAAGAAGAGGATGAAGAAGAGGAGGAAGAAGAAGAGGAGGAATCAAAGATAGAAGAGGGTCAGCAGACCAGCAGGCGGTCTTATGCTGCTCAATATACCCAGATGCGCAGATGGCAAAAGTAACAGCCTATTTGGAAAAACACACAGATACACAGATCCAACTACTTGCACACAATGCAGGGCACATATCAATGAAAATATTCTGTAGTTTTTTTCCATGCTGAAATAGATGCTGTTACATGTACAGCTGTCTTCCAATCAACTTATTTTCATTATTGTTGTCACCAAGGTGCAGTCTTTTCAAATTATGTTTATACAATGTAAATGTAATACTGAATGCACTGAAAAACTCACATATATTAGTAATTTCTCATTTGCTTATGATCTCTGCTGGAAATGAGTCAGATCGGCAGAAAAAACGACTCCCAAAATAAACCAAGATGGATCAACTCACTTCAAGAAAATATGTTTTATTTCAGTTCTTTCAAGTTGGAGATGTGAATGCCAACTCACACCTATGATTAAAAGATGCGGACTCATAGGTAGACAACAAATGGAGGAAGAGGAGAGAGCACACTTTATCTGCCGTCAGCATTGGTGGATCCTGCATAACTCAGAATAACGTTAAATGCCAATGTTTTTGGGGGGGTTTTTACCCAACATTTTTATCAAATTTGGGCTTTTTGCAGTATTTATTCATAGCAAGTACAGTATACTATGGATAAGGTTAAGGAAATATTGTAGTTATTATTGGAGAACTGTGTCAAAGAGAACCAAAAGACAGACATTGATGCTAGATTCAGGAGGCCTTGAAGTCAACAAATAAGACATAATAACAACTGCATTAAGTCACAGATACATGAGAAGAGAAAACTGAGGAAAAAGAACTGAAACAGGTCCATTCCACTACAGAAGGCTCAGTAAAAGAGACCAGAGTTGGTCATTGATTATTGGACCTGTATGTCTTTAAGACCTGATCCGTCACCACCAAAAGACAATCCAAGGCCCAGCAACAGGGAGCAGCAACACCAAGGAAAAAGCATTTAAGAGGAGATGAAGGTTAGCTAGAGAAATACATTTTGAATGCTCTAAGTAGGAAGGAAATAATTACGACAATACTCATTGAAACACTATGTATGAATGGAGTTGTGGGATTAATCTGTAATTATATCATGATATCAAATGAAATATGTCGAATCAAGCTAAGTATTAATGATTTTTATAAAGAAAGGATTAACAATCATTTTACAGTCACAGAAGTTAACTGAGAAAGTATGCCATGTGTTATCACCCTGTGACCTTATGAAAGTGTGTGTAATGAGTGTAAAAGTGAAATTAGAGAGGTGGTGGAAAGTACAGAGAAGGCCTAGAGGACAAAGATGAATGAAGTACCTTAAATGGCCATGCATTTGTATAGTGCCTTTCTAGTCATCCAACCACTCAAAGTGCTCTTTACACTACAAGTCACATTCATCCATTCACACACTGGTGGCCGAGGCTACCATACAAGGTGCCACCTGCTACTCAGTTTTTAACACACTCACACACCAATGGAACAGCCATTGGAAGCAATTTGGGGTTCAGGATCTTGCTCAAGGATACTTTGACATGCAGACTGGAGGAGCCGGGGATCGAACTGCTGATCTGTCAATTGGTGGACGACCCGCTCTACCTCTGAGCCACAGCCGCCCTAATAAAATAATCAGAATATATAAATAAGATTAATCAGAATATACAGATGAATAGATTACCAAAATAAATAGATTGATTAACAATCCAATGATTGTTAATTTAGTCAATCTATTTATTTATCACATGAAATCATACAAGACACATAGCCAGTGAAATGTCATCCCATCAGTACGTCCAATGTCTGCATAAAAAAAAAGAAAAAAAAAAGGATAACAATGAATGGGGGGGTGGGTGCAAACATCCTTTAAGCAGGGTATGGCAGCGCAGATAGTGTGTTCACTGCAAAAACTCAAAATCTTACCAAGTATATTTTTCTAATTTCTAGTCAAAATATCTCATCACACTTATTATAAGACACAATCACCTAAAGAGTAACATTTCAGTGAGATATAGGAACTTGTTTTTAGACAGTGTATCTTGAATATCTTGTTAAGTGAAACAGTCTTGAAAACATCTTGTTTTGAGTCATATCTCAGATGAAACAAGTTTTTTTGACATGTCACAAGGTTTTTAAGCTGCTGTGTTATTTGTAAAAGATGAACCATCTTGTTTCGAGAAATAGACTTAACTTGAATTAAGACATCAAATCTGCTTTATTTGAAAACTGCAGGTCAACAACATGCCCAACTCACACATTGCATTATAACTCTTACTATACATATCTTAAGTACAGGGTTTCTTACATTTCCATCAAACCATGTCCCTGTGATGTGGAAAAAGAGGCAAAAGCTGGAATTACTTTTCCTTCTCTGTTGTGTTGCTCTGGACAGACTGTGCCACATCATTCCAAAAGTAAATATCAATTACAGTGTTTGCCAGTGCTTAATTTCAGCCCAAATACCCACACTCACTACAGATTCAAGAATGATGATGTCTGTGAGATCATACTTCACTGGAATGTACTTGCTGTTATTGAAGTTTACGTAGTAGTATGGTGTATAATCAACAAGCTTTTCAGCATCCACGAAAATATTGGCTTGAGCTAGGCAGGGAACTTCTACCTTGTAAGCTAAATAATGATCATTCCACCCAACTGTTGAGAGAGGCTGGCATTCAAAACAATGCACTGACGCATTTACAATATAGATTTTTTTCACAAGTGCAAACTCTGGAGTATCACTGATGACATTAGAAATAACCAAAGATTTTCCACATGTATGCTTATTTCCATGTTGCATAATCCACTGTACCGAATATATATGTTCAACTTGCTCTATTCCTAAGAAGTCTTTAATCTTTCTTTCTACATAATTAACTTTTTTCACCTCAGAGGCTGGGCCCATGTCAACTTCACTTGAAAAAATTGGATGTTTCTCATGCACATTCTGACTACATTCATTAAGTTGGTTGTGCTTCACAAGAGATTTACAAATATTCTTAATACTACTTTTCAGAGCCCACTGCTTAAAAAAGCAATGCTTTGACTCAAAGCGCATACACATATGCCTCACCGTAGGACCAAGTGCCTTAATCTGAGAGGGAAGATGCAGCAAGTAATGCTGTTTAGGTATAATATTTGTATCTGGAAACAGTTGTTTGAAATGTTTTAAATGTTGCTCTATTAAAAGTTTCAGCCTTGAAAGAGTTGAGAGAGCAATAATAGGTGAAAACAGAATTTTGACTATCTCTAACATTTTACGTAGCATTTGTGTGTAATCATTTTCTCCAATTTTGTCAAAGAGAAATGGCATGATCTTTAACAAAACCAGCATCTGCCCAGCTGACTGTTTCAATTTATTGTCATTTGATGACAGTGTACTGACAGATATGGGGCAAGGCTTATCCCTCGCATCCGCAGGAGAATAAGGGAAACAAATAATTGCACTGTTGAATGTGTCTAAGTCCATATGCCCTGAAAGCACAAGATGCTTTAAAACACATTTGATTTCATATGGGGCAACACCTTCAAGAATAACATGCATGATGTCTTGTGGGGTTTGGTTGATTATATCAAAGTGAGGAAATTCTGTTAACTTGCTTCTCCTGTTTATACCATATGTTATTTTTAGATTGTCTTTCAGAAAGTCAGTACTTGCCTTTTCAATGTCATTACATTGCCTGTTATGACTTGCCATGGTCCTTTTAACAAACAAATCTTCATTAAATTGTTCCTGCATGTCTTCAAAGTTGCATTCTCAGTGCCTGCATTTATTGTAGGCAAACCCCACTCCTTCCTTAAATCCAGCCACTTCATGCTGAGCGAGAGTGTCTCCACACACAGACATTAGTGCCCCATAAATTGTCCTCTCACCATTTGCAGTGACAACCTGGACACCATCACACAGCTCAATTAAGTCACGGTTAATCCTCTCAAATATCTCATCAATACCACAATGGGAAAGATCTTTTGATTTTACCATGGCAAGCAGACTAATGGCAGCAAGTCTTGATCTGTATTTAGGGTTGATGTTACCTAAGGTGTAATAAATCAATAACAATTTGTTTTTGTTTGCCCGAGATCCAAGAGGATTGCATAGCTCAATTTCATCTGTATATAAAATTTACTGCAATGCTGTTGGAACTTTCAAAAACAGTGGGTGCGACTTAAAAATGTCTCCATCAATGAAATCATGAAAAAAACCATCCTTGCATGGCTGTGTCCTCTCATCAATCATTTCAAGAATTCTTGGATGTGATAGCAGCTGCTCCAAACTTTTCACCAACGGTATATAATGAAAACAATGGTCCTTGATGGTAAGAACTCTGGAGTCTCCACGTTTCACATAACATACCGTTTGTTTTGCGACAATAATCTCTGGTTCAACTGGTTTGAACAGTTCTTTGATGGTCTTGTCCTGCAAATGGGTGGAAGCAATTTGACTGAAAGGGTCAACAAACTGGTCAAATACCCCCATTGCATCACTCTTTAGTTGATCCAGGTCCCCAGAATGGCTCTCAATCATGTTACTCATTTGTTGTTTTAGGTGCTCCAATAATGCCGCCTGATATTGCTGGACTCCACTCACCATTTGGTTAACAGCTCTCTGGGGAGGAGGGAAAAAAAACAAACCAACAAACAAAAATACTACATTATAATATTCATATAAAAACACAGTCAACATGCAAACTCACACTTTTTTTTTTTTTTTAAAAAAAAGGAACCCTTCAATTAAATATTGTTAGTGACATGCACTGATTAAAATAAGTTATTTCCACCAAAACTATAATGAAATAATATTGCCTTCTGTGGCTTTAAGACCTTATTTACACTTGATTTTATTATGCGTTTTGAGCAATCGGATCACAAGTGGACGTGCTAAATTAAAGTGTTAGTGTTGTGTGTATTCTGTTGTCTCTATTCTTAGCTCATGCTCAGCAAATATAGTGGATGGGCAGATTTTGTATGCAAAGTACTTGTCTATTTGCATATATAGCGGGGAAGTGAGATCTGACCACAAGTGGTCACTCAAGAAGCATGTGAAGACACATTCTAATGTCAGGTGTTTCACTGACATACCTAAAGCTGTCGACTTGTGATAAGATCAGCCAAGATGCCAGGTCTGAACAGTGCCCAAGTCATTCAGCAGTTTAAGCGTATTGCTTTTAAGCTCACTAACAATAAAATAGAATTCATTGGAAAATTCATGGCATAAATTACCTGTGTCAGTCGATGGGTTTCCCTGGCTAAAAGAAGAAATGCAGTTGCATGTTTAGAAAGGTCAACATTCATGCGACCCTCTCCACTTTCTTGAAATCCACTCTGAAACAGATTAACAACAAACATATCTATTAAAACAGGGAAAATAGTGGCATTGGTTGGTAGCACCACCAGACAATCTGACAGTAACTACCTGGGTAAGCT